ACAATCAAAGGTAAGCTCGAGAGTCTTTTGTTTACTCGCTTTATATATTTATTACTCCAGTCCCTTACTAAAACCGTTATTATCGTCATGCATTTATCAATGTGTGTGGTAGAAGTACACTGCCCTCAAAAAGAGCCAGTCTTCGGAGGCCCTTGAGCACAGCTTCACACAATCACTGACCACCTCATTCTCAGTAGCCACGAGCGCTGGAGCTAAGAGGTGTCGAAACGTGACAAAGAAGGCATTGAAGAATACTAACGAGTCACCTGGACCCAGCTCAACCGAACAGTCATGGCTTACAACGCTGGAAGTTATCCAAACCACCATTACGGACAGCGTCGTAAGTGTTACTGTCCTCAGTCAAGTAAACGCAGACCCCCCTGCTACTCCAGCGCCTATCCTAACCCACCGTCAAAAACCACTGCATGGAAACGTCAAAGTGTAGGACGGAAACGTTTGGACAAGCCTCATGGATACGACGATAACTTTCACACACGTGCTCTCGCTGCAACCAAAGGTGATGCAGCCGCTTAGTGCAGCAGCCGCAACGAGTGGGTACACTGCCGATGTGACAAAGAAGTACCAAATCAGTACTACATTTTTATGACGCGCCACCCATACAAGTGGTCGCGGTACATCTGCACACAGTATTGCCTGAGACTGCACTTAGCTTCAGGCCCACTTAGAGTAGCTGAAAAACTCCCAGTAGCCTCCAGAAAGCAGGTATCTGTCCAAAACACTACCACGGAGGAGGTTCACTTTCCAAAGGCTGTCAGCAATGGCCCACTGGAGGTCGCAAACCTGAGCAGGAGAAGCGGGAGAAGGCTGCCTGCGTCAAGGGCAGTGGCGACCACCCCAAGCCCTGGAGCCACATTGGCGATGGTCATCAGCCTACAACACAGTAAATAGGTCAGGGTAGAGAAGAAAGCTCGAATTATCCACGGGAATGCACCCACAGTACCGGATGATGCAGATATCGCTGGCCGACCCGGCCCCACCATTCTATTTAACGTTCCTGTTTGCGATGGCAGCCATCAGGCGTATTAGGACACGTCTGACGGGCAAAAGTGGGACTCCTTTTGTTTCATGCTAGGCCTGGGCGCCCTAGGGGCAAAACTGTGCAGAGTGTAAAAAGGTGCACACACCCCTAAGGAAGCCTTCGCCGATAAGAGTGGTCCTAAGCACAACTAGACGCCAATAGGTTCCGTTTACTGTCACATACCCCGTTCATTGACCTGACCGATCATGGGTGTCAAGAAAGATATATAGAGAACCGGCTGACCCACAACAACCCACAACTGTAGGTGATAAGAACACCCAAGACGTCCAACAATGGCAGTGGCTATCAGCTTGAATGGAGCCAGGTGTGGTCGCGGCGGTGGTAGTCAGGAGGCCGTACCCGACAACCATGGCCTCACCTAGACTAGTGACTGTCAACTTCATGGCCCCATTGCGCTAGGGACGTGGTGTGATGTCAAGAGCACCATAAGCGGAAATGTTCACTGCTGTAACGACAGGCCAAGAACGCTGGGACAGCAGCAGACGGTAGTTACTCCCCATGCTAGGGTCGCCATCACCCCATACCGACACACTGAGAGTCAGACCGGGAACCCCCACCTATCATATACTGGTCGATCGACCTGGGAAAAAGTTGACTGGGCTGGTTCCATTGGAGCTGGCCAGTCAGGGAAAAACCTCGCCACATCCAAACCTGTGCCACTGGTTAACCCAGAGAAGTCTCACTCTACAAGGGGCACCTCCAAGTGCCTTTACAGCAACGCGACGGAACTCCGAAATAAAATATCAGAGCTCCAATCCCTCTATTCCTACCTTGTTCCGAAAACCATAATCCCGACAGAAACATGGTTATCGCTGGACGTTAGCGACGCCGAAAACGAGATAGATGACGTGTATTTGTTCAGTATGGAGAGGGAAATCAAGAACGGAGGGAGGCTTGCGATGTGCGTGAACAATTGGTCCAGAAGTGAACGATATACTGACATTGTGTTGGCAGAGCCCCAGACTCAATCTGGTGTCACTTCACGGTCATACACACCAAGTGCCTGCTTAAGAGAGTCAGCAGATCCCCTAATAGCAACTCGGAACACAGCCAACAATAACTTCAAGCACCACCACCGGAGTCTGTTTGGAGTATGGCTGCTTCCTGATAGCCGGCGCCTTCAACCCCCAGCTGGGCCTGGAGCAAGGCAGCATGACTCCGAGCTGGAAGTTTGGTCGTAACCTGCTTAACGTCATCCGAACCGTTGGGCTGCACGAAAAAATCAGTGACGATACCGGCTAAGGGTCAAACGGTAAACCCTCCAAACCGCATTACCCAGTGGGTAGTGATCATCTGCTAGTTAAAAACGTTTAGGTCCAACCCTCTCTTGGAAGCAGTTATCATGCAATGGTGGTGTTCAACTTAGCAATCAGCGAATGGTTATAATTAGGGGGATCTTGCCCTTGCCTCTACTTAGGGAAGGTAAACCACGAGGGAATGGATCTGAGCCTGTCGAAAGTTCCGTGGCCAGTAGAATGGCGCCCTTTATCGCTTGACCAGCAATGGGAACTGGTAAGAGGCATCACTAGGGAGGCGATTTATAGGAACGTTCATTTGGTAGTAACGACAGCCAAAAAGCGGACCTCGCGGCTAAAACGGGGCACTGAGTGCTTCCTGAAGGTCTAGAAGAAAGCACTGCATAAATCGAGGCTCTCTAGAGAGCAGAACGATCACGACACACACAGCCCTACGAAATCGATGCAACATCAAGATGCGAGGAGGCAGGAGGTCGTGCTGGTCCAACCTTGCCAAGAAGCTTCAGAGGGCCCCCAAAAGCCATGACGAATAATGGTGAAGAGGAAATCTATAAGCCAAGGAGCATGCGTTATCAGGGGTCCGAACAGAGAAAATCACTCTGGACAGGAGATAGCCGCAGTGTTATATAACACCTCTGACACACAGCTCAACATACCACCAAAAAGGCATGCCACTCCTGCCAGAATAGCTTCCAACGTCATCCGACGCAGCAGAGTTACACGAGGTACTGGTAACTAGCTCTGTTGTTCTCGATAAGCTGCCAAAGCTAAGTGCGAGAAAATCCTCAGGGTGTGACGGCATTCGCCCACCTGAGTTGAAACAGTGTGCAAGTACCCTAAGTGGCCCACCTTAGAACCTTTTCCAACACACCTTAGGCGAACAAAGACTGCCACGAAAGTGGAAGCGGTCCATCCTCTCTCCTATCTTCAAAAGGCGAGACAAGCAAAAACCCGAATCGCTACAGACCCATAGCACTTTTCAGGTAATATCACAAGTTGTAGAAAGTATGGTGGGTGGCAACATCGAAGAATAGTCGGACACAAAACAAGCACTCTGCGATGCCCAACACGGCTCCCGTAAGTGTAGGTCCTGTGTCTCCAACCTTCTGACGGCCCATGAACGCTGGACGGCATGTTAGGAACTCAAGGTCCCGGTTCACACGATTTTTCCGGTTTTCGCCAAAGCCTTTGACACTGTCTCACACATCACCCCAACACATAAAAGGGATGGGTTGGGTCGGGGCTGAAGAACCACTTAGCAGAGAGTTCTGCACGGAATTGAGCAGATTCTACTCAACTTGAAGAACATCATCCTCCAGCGTCTCACAGGAAGCAGTCCTGGGGCCGTTATTGTTCCTACTGTTCGTGGATGACATTTCGCTGCATATCAGTTCTCCGATTCTCCTCTAGGCTGGTGATGTCCAGCTATGGAGGGCAGCAAAGTGCCAGACGGAATCGAATGCAAAATAGAACGATCTCATTTGAGTAGTGGGCGACAGATAACGAATTGGTGTTTGACCTGGATAAATGCCGGTTCATGTTCTTTGGCGCTCCTGATCCACAGAAAGCATCCCACTCTATATGTGGCCCACATCTTTCACACACGGCAACGGAGAAACGGGACACCAGTTCCAATCATCCAGGAGAAGCATCGAAAGCAGAAAGTGTGCTACACTTTGTGAGCAGACAACTAGGTGCCCTCACCTGAGAGCTCTTTTTGAAACTCTACAGACGTACATATGACCTCACTTGGAGGTGCATAACATTTTCGCTCCATCACAACTGAAAAGAGGCACGAACCTACTGGAGAAAGTCAGAGGTGAAGGGGTTGTTAGGACGCACGAAAAGTCATATGAAGACAGACTGAGAGACTTAGGCCTATATTCCATTAGTTACTGAAGGTCATGAGATGATTTAATAAGGCTTACAAAATGCTGAATGGCCTAAATCACCCGAGAAGAGGAGCACTGCTAAGTGGCTACTATAGTGATCCTTCTCGAGCCCCAAAGAAAGTTGCATACCAAGGGTCAAAGACTCTCATGTATTCACATTTCTTCTCTCCTCAAGTTCACGAGGACTAGTATGCATTACCAGCAGAGGTAGTTCCCGCTTCATCTGCTGAAAGTTTCAAGAAAAGGCTAGATAGGTACGCAGCCACCTATGGTTTACGCACATCTAGTTGGAATAGGAAACAGATGAAGAAATCAACTGCTATCACAGCATTCCAACTATGTTGCCTCTACACCAGTTTTCTTCAGTTAAGCCCCTCTCATCCCTTTCACTCGCCATGAATTAACCTCACCTACCTAAGTTCTTCATTTCTTCCCACCCCTCTCGCCTTATTTGGGTGTAAATGGATTACTTCATCAGTCTGCTTTTCTTTGTCTTCTAATCACATACATTTGTCTTCTTAGGTTAACTCTTCACCATCCCTAACTATCTCTAACGACCAGTCAGAACAACTGTCTGGCAACTCGATATCTGAAGAACCCAACTGTACCACAGTCCCGGGCAAGCTAACCAACACTCATCCTTTTGTTCTGCATACCAGGGATATAACGGACAGATAACTGAATCTACAGCATCGAAATCCGCCAAAGACCTGGAACCAAGAAGCGAGCATGAAGAAATCAACTGGTTTACACAAGCTCATTAAACAGGTATTGGATATTGGATACATCACTGGCGGAAAACCACGGTTGAGTCCAGAGACACAGTCTCTGGTTGCATTCAATCCAACATCGGTACTGCGGGTAGAGGAAGCTTGTAAATTTGAGCTCTCGCTTCTAGGTCGTGAGGCTCGATTCTTTCTGTTCAGTTGTACTCCTTCGATCCAACAGTCGTACAGTCAGCTGACCGGCGTTGAGGTTGTAGTTGCGGAAGTTTTGGATTTGCAGATTGCAGCATCTTATTCTTGTGCAATATTAACCGTTTTTGTTTGTCTTCTACTATTAAATGTAAGTAAGCTATCTATGCCGTTTGTGTTAGAATATATTTTTTTGTTAACGATCAGAAAAGTTTGCTATGCTTTAGCAAGTTGTCCAGTAACCTTGAGCTGTTCGAGATATGGTACAACCAGTAAATACGTAACTTGTATTCAGTTCTAATATGCTGGAAATAGAAGAAATTAGGTTTTAAATGATTGTTATGTGGTGGTATTTGTAGTTTATACAATCCTATATCCCATTTTTACTGCCTAGAATTGAAAAAATATGGGACATAATAGATCGGTATGGTGTCCGTCTATATACTACTACTCTATAGTTAAACCCTCGAAACCTAATGTGTTTAATTTCTGATAGACTAGTAGTCCTCAGTGCCATTCATTGGTATCCCAGGGCCATCCTGGTGAACATTATATCTATCAAGAGCTTTTAAAGGCTACGAGAATTCTTGTAGGTAACGTGGACTCTCTCAGAATCAAACAATGTCTTCACCGCATTTAGCACAAGGTTAACCAAACGTTAAGCCTGAGTGCACCCCTAACTAACTTCAATATTTTTGGACTTTGAAGTTATTTTTCTGATGGGGTTGTTTTCTGTTATTGCGTGAATTACACAGTTGCATAAACCAAAGCAAGTAATCACTACATTAAAACAGAGTTCCAGAATGATGTCGATGAAAAAGTGGTTGTGATGTTTGTGCTTCGGGAATTTAGACGCTTGTCGCTCATGGCTAGCTATTGGGTCATACTGTGGCCCGATAAATTCCACGAACTCAGCCTAACGTAACACTGGCGTGTGGCATGGTGAACAAAATAAGATATCTTACATTAGTTGTTGGCAAACACTAAACCAGCCTCCATTTGTATATCCTTGTTAAAGCGTGAACTCCAGTAAGTCATCGTATATTTGTGAACCGTAGGATTTCTAACATGGTGTTAGTCAAGCTGATACCTTACAACTGTGACTCAAAAACTTCTTTCCTTTCCTGCATACTGAGATAATTAACCATCTAGACCGGTTTAGGGGACTACTTCTGTTCCTGATACTGTGGTGCCTCTTTTGCTCTGCTTCGTAATTCTCTACCTTGAAGTTTTTATGTAACCAGTGCGCAAAAGACTTGTCAGGATCCACACATGAGAGTTATCATACTTTCAGTCCACCTAGGCATCTTCTGTATCAAGGTTAATCCTTGTAATCAGGTGATAGGAAGCCCTTCGTAGGTACGTCAGTGATAAAGGTAAGTCAGATTGGAGAAGGTGGAACTTCTTGGTGGACACCACTTGACGTGCCTAACCCACATGATACTTCATTATTGACTCTAACACGCCCGTGTTCAAGTCCAGAGCCTTCAACAGAGATGTACTTACTTGGCACCCGTTTCAGTGAAACACTATCATATGACCTCTCGATTGACGTAGTCGTATACCACTTTCAGGTCAAGAAGTGCAGCCAGTATCAGAAGTTGGTCGGTGTGCTTGTGTTCTAGAACTCAGTGGAGGGTAAATATTTGGTCGACATATCCTCGATCAGGTCCGGAAACTGCTTGGCTTTTTCGTGTACGCTGTTCCAGAGCACCACTTAAACGTCTAATAAATATAGGACCGGAAATCCTAGACACTTCGTCTGCTTAATCCCCCTGTGGTTATCACAGGAGGACTTCTCACCCTTCTTGAAAACTAAGACAATCAGTAATTGAGTCAGTTGGAGGGGATCGTATCTGACTCCCACTCACTAGCTATCACCTCAATTAATCTGACCACCTTTCTTAGAAATCTCTGGCTCTAGTCCACCTGGTCCTGCTGCTCTTCCTTGTTTCAGATTGCCCTCAACCTTCACGACCCCTGTAATTATTGAAGGTCCTATCTCACTGTCCCATACAGGATTCGACTACATAGAAGACAGCGGGATAGTAGATGGAAGCCGGTTGAACTGCTCCTCGAAATGTCCCCCCCCCCACTGTTTTCATCTCTCCTGCGGGTGAATCGCGCACCCGTCTCTTTAACCATTGAGTGTTTTGCCCCAGTATCCTTGATATCTCTAAAAAGCTGTCTGCTCTTACCTACAGCCCCGGCTTTTTCCATCTATTTAGTCTTCGCTGCTTATCACTGTTCATTCCTTTCTTTCTCGTACTTTATATTTCTTTCGACTGCACCCTCTTATCTTAATCCTTCACCTCACTACTTTTCTACTTGATGTACTGTACTGAGCTGTGGCAACTGGGACCGTTACGTAGTAATTCCTGGTCCTGTGTTGATACTGATTGATTGACCACTATTTGCCGTCATTGAATGAACTTCCTGTCGGTGTGCATTTGAGGTGCTTCCGCTCCTCATTGTGCTCGGAACCTGCATGTATGCGTTTACGTGCATCCACTAATTCAGAAGCTGTCGAGGTCGACTGTCTCTTTTTAACCACTTTGAGAGTCAGCTACAGTCTTCAACCCTGTTTTTGCAGCAGACTGAAGATGCCACTATGCTTCTAGATGAATGTTGTTCTAGATCGATAACTGCCTAACCAGTTCTTTGCTGAAATCAGCATGAGTATTCTCGTCACCAAGACGCTTTGAGAGCTGTCTTTCTGTTCTAGCCTTGCCGAGTCCATTCGGACGCGTGCTCGAACGCACACATGGTCGCTGCAGAAGGCCCAGCAATATCCCAACTACCCTCTGCAACAATAACTGACAGCTGTGTGGTCTATGTCCAGCACTGTATTAAAGTCGGTGGATGTCAAATCAAACAGTTTCTCTTTGTGTATGAAGTTTATGCTGGCTGGTAGATGGTTGTCTGAACGCCATTGTAGCAGGTGATCGCCGTTATCTTTTCCTTAAGCTAGGATTCCGAAAGTGTCATCTAAGTGCCTTTTTGCTTGACAGCCTACCCAGTTGGGTATTGAAATCACCTACAACAACATCCACGTGTGAACATTTGGTTTTCAATAGGAGGCTAGATAATTTTTGGTAGATTTCATCCAAAATGAAGTCAGAGGGTGTGCAATCAGAGATTACAAGAAGACAACGGCGAGTTTCACCACTTTTATGTCCGCACTGTGTCGTTCACTCCAACAGCGCATAGGTGACTGTCAACTGGGATGTAGTTAAACAGTGCTCTCCTTACATTATCACTTAATACTATACATTCACCTTCCAGATCGCGACAACTAACCATCGAATCTCCATAAACTCGAATTTCATGGATTCACAATACTAGCGAGGTGAGACTAAGTGAATAACCGCACTCGGATCTTATATGCGTGTATCGCAAACAACTCATTCATGGCTCGAGATGCCAGGGTTCTCAACAGTAAAGCTTGTAAGATTTGACAGGTCACAGGTGTTGTGAAAATTTGAAGTTCACCTCAAATTGACGTAAATCCAACTATAAAACGCTGCATCGCTGATGCTGGAAGAACACAAGATAAAGTGAAGTATGGTTTTTTGTCACCGACTTCTCACTGGAAAGACAGCATCAGCATAACCATCCACAAGGAGTACTTTACTGCTATCACACTTCGTTAAACCAGCAGTACGACTTATTCCAAATTCCCACCATCGCGCAGGCTATGTACTGCTTTTTGTCTTACCGCTATGCAACAGACCTGTATGGTATGATGAGATCTCAGGTAACAAATGTTCTCACCCACATGGCTCATCGGGTCATTGTGATATGCAACCCAACCATCACTTCAACGTAGCAGCTATAGTTGGCGTCAGAAAAGAGGTTAAGTATAATTTCTGTAATCGATGGCAATGATTTTACTCAGCTTTACTGTGGCCAATCTTACCTTCGGATTGCTTAGCGAATTCATGAAAATCGATTAGCAGTAAAGCAACATGATACGTAGTTCTTGTTCCCAGTAGAAAATTCGATTCAAAGTTTGACTAGAAGAATGTGCATCTTTTAAAAGGCAAGCTCAGAAAATGCAGCGAAATTTCCAGAAGCTTGGTATTCAAACGAAAAATCTGTATAGAAGTATGTGGTTATTAACTCAGTCCATAATCTACTCAGGTAAAAAAGATTCATCTGCAAACCAGGTAAAATTAGACCAGACAACTAAACAGTCAAACCTTGTTAATAACCAATAGCTCAGTTTACGCCATCGAAGATCCTTTTTCAGAGTGATTCAGTGGAATTCAAGGTGAAAACGACTAGTATTGGGACAAAAATCGTTTCCCGAAATTACAACTAGACAACATTCAAAGTCGGCGAAAACACTACACAGAAATTCGTGTACTTTTTTGAACATGCCTTATATCTTTATGAGTTGATGCTGATGATGTCACTAGACCTGGTGATGAAATATCTAGTTTAAAATACAAGGCTGAAAAAAACTATGCAACATCATTTCTCATATCTATTCGAAAACAATTTGATGTAATTAAAGTTACTCACTGATGTCAGTAATATTAAGTTCTATAAATTTTTCAAAGGAATAACCATCTCTAAACGAAATGTTCTGGTACTCGTGGTGCTTTGATAAACGTATTTAGTACGCACTAAAGCAAAGTATTAAAAAGAAGCTTAGTGTCACAGGTTTGCCGATTATAGACAGCCAACTAAGATTGTCTTCGGGTAGGCTATTTGTTCACAGTTCTGTTCTGTTTCTAATATTATCCGTTTTGTCTGCAAATCGGTGCACAGAGCCATCAACAGTATAACCTTCATTTCCAATGAATTTTATCTGACGGGTTTGATCAGAATATAATAGTCATTTATGGAAACAAAGAAAAGCAAGTGACGAGTATATCAATCAGTTTTCTCCTTTATCTTCATCATTTACTAGGCACTTGACTGCACCACCTGCACATTGGCGTTTTCTCTATTCTGTTTCTTATCGATGTTTCTAGGGTTATTACGATTAGAGTGGACATTAGCAGTAACGTTTACAAGAGAAATTCACAATGGTAAATATTTCAGCTCACTTTATCTATCTGTTGACAGTTCATAAACAGGTTTCCTACGGGAAGTATACAATGTCCAGTGGAATAATCATAACTTTCAGAATGATGTAATTCTACAACTAGGTTATGAGGCACACTGGGTTTATCATTTCTTTGGTGTTAACAAAGGTCATTTTTACGTGTGTTGCTTAAATCGTTTTAGAATGCACCCTAATGATAAAAATAATCGCTACCTGCCGACTGGTAATCAATGCACTCCCCAAACATATGGGAACCGTCGTCGTTTTTTCTCTCATTCATCAAGACTGCTAACGCGTAATCGTGGATATTCACATTGTGAAGCAAATGGTTTCGACAATGAGTTAGAGCATTGTAATAATCATGGAATGTACTTTCGTCGAGGTCGCCTTTACCAGAGAAATAATCGATGGATAACTAACCGCGGTGCTTCTAGCTCGTTCACGAGAGACTCTAATCACCGAAGACCAACATATAGTGATAATCAAACTGTTGTTGGTTCGAAACCGAATCTTCAATCTACAACCAACTCCGTGGGACCTAGTTGTTCAGTTCAAGATAGTTATTCGGAAAGTGTTATCTCGAGTCGTGCCTTACAAAGCTCAATCGTCACTTTGAGATCTCCCAAATCTGAGTGTCAGGATGACTTACGAAGTAAGTTCATACTTTATTTTGAGGTTTGTACATGCTAAACCTAAGTATTGTTTTTAAATAGAAGTGAATACTAAAAAAATTAAGGTCTTTTTTTAATTGATGTTAATAGATTTTCGACTTGTGGCATCTGCATCTGATTCTTAAAGAATTGGAGTCTAATGTTACGCAATGCGCCTAAAATGGTCTCCATATAACAAGTTTCATTGGTTTCTGTTAACATGACATTGAATTGGTAATGAATTTCAATCCACTTGGTGTTATATTTTGCTGTAACTTCTAATTCCCTTATAGATGTTTCCACCATTCAGTGTGTTGCTTAACTGATGAATGTTAAAAAAGCATAATAATTTCTTGCTTTGGGTTATGACTTTTTAAACCAAAACAAAATAGTCTGAATAAACATGAAATTTTGTCAGATTAAAACGGGCAAATTTTCAAAAGAGATAAAACTTCATCCACTTCTCCCTTGGATCCGTTTTATTTCATATAGCCTTACTTTTTAAACCAAAAGTTTCTGGTATTTTTAAAATTAACCAGTCAACTCACTTAGCTGGATATAAAAGATATTTTGATCAGACCAATTAATTGGGGTGACACGGCTTTGGACAACGATATTTTAACAAATAAATTGTAGTTATAGACAGTAAATACAGTATGAGTGGCATATCTTTTGCCACAGTTAAAATGTACTGCAGTTAAACAGTTTTTCCCTTCGTTCAGTGATCTTCATTTTTTTTGACAATATCGTAATAAAGCTGGGTTAGGTTGGAAGAAAGTTCGGGTAGTCAGTTAATGAAGTTGCTGTTGCTCTAAGCCGTCTGGAGAGATGCAAATTGCTTGTTTGAGGTCCCTAAAGTGACAGGAATCAGTGGTTGAGGACTCTTGGTAAAAGAGCCGAAAATCGATCGCAGTAGCGCGGATATATTCACTCTTTGACATCTAAAGGTTGAATATTTGTGCCAACCATTATCTTGTTTATTCTGTCACAATACTTTGTCTACTTTGATATCAGTCTTTTTCTATACACCTGTTGTTTTTATACTACTGTGAAGTGTGCCAACTTGAGCCGATGGACGTGTGTATGAGGTTCTACGTCGAATTTGTCTGTCCTTTCTGACACCTTGTTGAAAACAACAAATTTCGCTGAAGCTAAGTTCCCATCGAACAGATGCTTCGTTAATATGGTGGATAATGCTAGCACTAAAAGCACTGGCCATCATATTGTAGAATAAGTAACAAGGCGATGGTTGTGATCGCGAAGTTTTACTTTTGTCTTGATTGGGTGGAAAATAGTAAGGTCGTTCACCGAGGTTAACAAGCATCTCGGCTTATATATATATGCATGCATATATATATATATATATATATATATATATATATATATATATATATATATATATTAGTCAGCAGAAGGTACCACGGTAGTTTTACTTTATAACCATTTATATTGTTTTCGTGTTTCCATTTAAAGCGTTCTCACTTAACAATATTTATGTCATCTATTGGTCAGGTAACCTTATCGATGGTCTGCGAAATAACACATATCAGTGCATGATATGCATTTCTAAGATTCGCTCAACTGATCCTATTTGGTCATGCACTACTTGTTATCATATTTATCACTTATTGTGTATTAAGTCATGGGCGAAAAAGTCATCTCAGAAAGATAATATTGAGGCGACTGTAACTCATGAATGGCGTTGCCCATCTTGTCAAGCAAATTATGATGTACCATCGGAACTAATTTCCTACCAATGCTTTTGTGGACGCACTCGAAATCCTGAATTCCATCCAGCTCGTGTGACAATACCACATAGTTGTGATCAACTTTGCGGCAAGGTTAAACGCATACCTTCTACATCTGTGTTAACTAACGCTTTAGTAGACGGTTATCAGTGTACCCATTTATGCACCGAGTGAGTTTGAAGATATTTACACCTACCTGTTTTGTTCCATATAATAGTTACTGATGCTATCGACGCTGTTGTAGGACTCTCGAGATAAATTTAGGAATTGAACTGATAGAAAAAACAATTGTACACAACAATCTTTTTTCTCCAGCTGCTACACTATTGAACACTAAAAAGAAGAAGGGAAATATAAAGTTATCGAAGAGAATATATTAACTGGGTGATACTCGTTTGACAATAATAATAGCAACATACAAAGCATGCAAATCATATATATAAATATTCTAGTGTTTTGAGTCATTGTATTCTACACAGAAAGTGTTATTGTGATGTGTGCCACTTATACGGACACATAAGTAATATAGGCTTTGATATCGCTGGGAAAAGCAAATTAAGTTATCATCCAATCAATGGAAGCTTAGGTGGAGTAGACGAAAGGAAAGACTGGAGATAGGCGAAGAAGCAAGATAAACTGAAGAACAACTCATCTGGAGTGTAGGATGCAAAGAACTCTGTTTAATATAAGACACTCATATTTTTTTTAGACTCATTGTAATTTTCTTAATAAATGCCTTCATTAGTGTGTATCGGTTCTTTCTACGATAGGATTACTTTAGTTGATGTATACATTTTGCATTAACAGTTTCGTATATGGACTAGTGATCGGAAGCGACCTAAATAAAGATCAGCAGTCTATCATAAGCCGCTAGGGTAGAAGGCTTGGATTTCAACCTTGTCTCATGTTACTATGTTGGCAGGAAAAACCTTAATTGTCTTTGTCTTCTGATTTTCGCAGCTCAGTGGAATTATCAGATCCTGAGGGAGAACAGTTGCTATTCGTATTCAGTCCAAGTATCTCTTTACGCTTGTAACATTTTAGATATCGTATTATTCTATCAGTCACTTCAACCTAGGTATTCCACTTTATAATGTTATTGGGTTTTACTGATAGGTTATCCCTTCTTTTAATAACGGTTCAGTTAGGTAAGGCTTTGCATACGAAAAATGAAATGCATTCGGAAACTATGTGCACTTTTGTACAGTGGGCAGTAAACCTCACACTTATTGTTGTGGAGTATTTATAGTACCTGGTTGCGTAGAGATCTCAAAAGGTGGGACAAGAATCAAGCCACAACTCCACGTTTTCGCCTCTATACTACTTATGCACTTCGAACAAGTAGTATGAACTCATGAGCAAGTATCAGTTGACCACACGTCGCTTGAGTTAGTAAACGAACCCAATCTCATTCTTTTTCGATTTGAAGATAGCCTCACCGATTGCAAAACGACCATTTTATTGTCCAATACTGAATTCTAATTTAAACATACTTCAAATAAAATATACCATTGAAAAGTACACAGTGTTCCGTTGCTAAGACATATGTCTACATCTCATTACCATTTAGAGGTGATTCACATAGCTTTGTTGTGAGGAAAAGACTTAGATCGGCCATCTGTAAGACGTATTATGCAGCTAAAGTCATCATTGTAGAGAAGACCAAGTCCATGTTACAGCACAAACCGAAACAACATATAAACGATTACATCACATCCCATTGTGTTTATCAATTTACATGTATGTATGGACACACATATATAGGGAGGAGTAATCGTTATATGCAGTTAAGGAAGGTTGAACATGTACCTAAGTGGCTACAAAAACAAATGACCTCAACAGATCCGATAAGTGCAGGTGACAAACATCCATCTTCGTCTATCGCTAGACGTATACTAGAAACTAACCATAGGATAGACATGAAAACAGCCTTTAAAGTACTACATAAAAGTGGTCAGAGCCTAGTGCTTAAATTTATTGAAGCTCTTGCCATCCGTCAATTTAAACCCCCTTTATGTATACGAAAACAATTTGTACTCACGTTGAACCTACCTTGGTGGTGCATTGATTTTAATTTTCATACCAAGAATAAGGTTTTTCTTTTTCTTTTCTATCCCTTCCTACTCCTATGTTTCCCACTAACTTCATTGACCTTTTTCGTAAATTTTCACATAAATAGTTGGACAAGTCCATGTGTGATCAGATTGTTCGAAATGTATAGCGCTAATACATCACATGTTTCAGATAATCTTCGTCTTCTCATTAAATTTATCAAAGGGACCAGTTGCTTTAAATGTACAATCGCCTGATGTAACTTAAAAAAACAATTGATAATCACAACGTTGCACTTTATCAAATGTGTCATCGAAAACACTTTCTCCATGTTGTGATTTGTAAAATAAAACTAACTTTTCAATAAAATCAGCTTATCAAACTGATAGGCAACTAGATGGAATAGATTCTTAGTCATTTTTAAGATCACAATCTTCTCCAGTTTTTCGATTTCATTGAAGATGGTGGTGCTTAAAATATCCTCGACTCAAAGAATACCTACCTGAGACGCAATTCAAGAAGAATTTGAAATAATTTAGAAGGCAGTAGTCATGGTGTATTCAACAAGTAGATGTGTATTGTGATTAACGACTCAAGTAGTTAGAACAAAGTATTATGTTGAATTTTGACAGTAGTGTCTCATAATACGTTCTGGAAGAAAGCAATAATCAATTGTTTGTAGTATGTTATTTGCTTTTTTAAAATCTTTATAGAATTTGTCATCCTGGTCCATGTCCTCCATGCTTGGCTGCCGTCACTTTGAAATGCCCATGTGGAAAAGTTCAACGTTCTGGTACTTGTGGTGATCCTCATCTTCAGCCTTGTGGTCAGATATGTGGGCGTCAGCTTTCATCACCTCTTTGTGCTGTTGGTTTTCATATGTGTCTATCACTTTGTCATTATGGACCTTGTCCTCCGTGTCGCTGGCTAATCCAAACAGGTGAATCACACCATACTTATCTTCATTTTTCTCTTGATAGTGTTGTGTCATTTTAATTGCTTTGCAGTGGATAGAAGTATAAAGTGCAAGAATACGGCAGAATAAGATGCCGATGGACAGAAAAGCCACAATACTAACGTAGAACCTTGTGCAATAGGCATCAGTGGAAGTTGCCATAAGTCACAGCAGCATCCAAACAACAAGTAGGTCAAAACGTAGATAAAGGTGTATTCAAGAAAGAGGATTCGTAAATCAAGGTATATGAACATGTAAAAACCTTCAAAGCCGCTGTAGCTGAATAGTTAACACATTCGTCGTAAGACCTGAAGGTCCTGATTTCGATCCCTATCACGGTGGGGTCATGAGTACTTACTACTGACGAGTCGCATACTAGGAACGAACAGCTATCAAGTGCTTCCAGTTTTTCAATGATTCTCCAACTCATCCCAGTATGCAATGAATACCAATTTGAAATCAATAAAATCCTCACAAACTTCCAGAATGAAATCATCAGCATTTCTGTCTGGATGTTCGTGGAGGTTTATCAACTGATTTTAGGTTGGGATTCATCATGGATTGATACCAGTTGGAGGAACATTTGAGATCTGGCAGCAATAGACACCTGTTTCGTCCTCGTGTGAGACTCCTCAGCAGTGCGCACGCATGACCTCGCCCCATCAGGGTTCGAATCCAAGACCTTCAAGTTCCGTGACCAGCACGTTACCATTGAGCCACCTGGTCGGAATCCAATGGTCCATATTTCCTAGTTGTGTCAGTTCACCATATAGCGCAACCTACATCTAATATCGCCGTTGAGTAACTGTCTTCATGTTCGACTTGGTTGATTCCACTGGTCACAACTTCTTATTGGAACTTCAGGATCAATCAATCAATCAATATCAACATAGGACCAGGCATTACTGCGTAACGGTCCGAGTTGCCACAGCTCATATCAGTACATGAAGTAGAAAGGTGGTGAGGTGAAGGATGAAGATAAGAGAATGCAGTCAAAAGAAATATAAAGTACTCAAAAAGAGAAAGGAAAAATGAGGATAATGTGTGCATTCATCTGCGCCAATGACATCGATTCTGAGCCGTCACCTAGAGTCTCCAACCACTGGTTCCTCTTGTCTCGCCGACCCTAACCACCTAGTCTGCATTACCCCACATGGCTTAAACCAACAGTGAACGACTTCATACATTGATGCCATGTTTTAGTCTGGCCACCTTGGGCTTTTTTCCAGCCTGGACCTACTTCCCCCAACATTGTGTGACGAGGCAATCGGTGACTAGGAATACGTAACATATGTTCCAACCATCTCAATCGGTGAAGGTTTATAATCTCGTCAACTGATATACCTCTACTCCCTAAAACTCTACACCTGACTTCTGCATTACTCACGTGGTGACACCACGGAATACGGTTAATACTACAAAGGCAAACACATGAAGCCTTCTACCTTTAATGGTCATGTTTCACAACCACACAGTCGAACAGAGTGGACTGCTGTGAAGTACACACGACCTTTAATAGACAAACGGATATCACGGCGGCGCCATAGGTGGTGTAAATTGGCAAAAGCCAGTCGAGCCTTTTGCATCCATGCAGAGATTTAAGCGACCACTGAGCCACCAGGGTTGATCCTATATCCCAGGTAAATGAAGTGGTCAACACACTCAACCACTTCACTGTCTGTTATTGGCCGCGGCACCGCTGAAGATCAGTCCTAGGGCAAAAATTTGCATTTGTGTAGTGAAAACCGCATCCCAAACATTCTCAAATTGCTACTCAAAGTGTTCAGAATACTCTGCATCTTGTCAGCGTCTTCACTTAAGAGGACTATGTCATCTGCATATTCTAGATCTAAAGAAAATTCACCTGTGATTAGGTCAACGTCTGTATAATTAGGCGACGAGAGGGGAACTTCAGGAATCATCCCTCGAAGCTAGTCACCAATCAGCTCTAGATTAATTCTATCTGGCGGTCTTGTGGAGGTTTTCTAGTTGATTTTAGGTTGGAATTCATCATGGGTGCGCGCACTCCTGTGGTGTCCCATACTAAGACGAAACAGCTGTCCAATGCTCCCAGGTTTCCGATGTTCCTCCAATTGATATCAGTCAGTCCATGATGAACTCCAATCTAAAATCATCAGCATTTGTTATGATGTTGTTCACGGTATATTAACTAGTCTGTAAACAAAAATCTGTTTATTTCACTGTCCACTCTGTAAAAATGACCTTTTTTCAGTGTTTGGCATCTTAGATATTACCACTAGTAAACATGTGCTGAGTACTGTCTCCAGTTTTATTTATCAATTTGTTAAGTACATTTTTAATTATGGTAATTTGGTTGGTTGTGGTTAGCAGAGGAACCCAGAACGCGCATTTCGTCCCATTTGAGACTCGTCAGCTGGATGTACATGCACCCCAGTGCGGAGTGATGTTGTTCCCACCGAGATTCGAACCTCATACCCATCGCTTCAAATGCCAAGACGTTATCCACTATGCCATGAAGACACAACAGCCACCTCTTGTACAACGGGTTTTAGTTATCACTAATTACTGATCTGCTTGTTATTCTCTGTTGTTTTATTGAATCGAATTGTTCAACCTCTATTGGCATATGGGCTCCTATGCGGATGGCGTGATATTGGCTGAATGGTAATTACGATAGTTTGTTTTGGTTGTGGTTACCAGAGGAATTCAGGATGCGCGTTCCATTCGATTCAGGATTCATCGTCAACTGGATGTACCTGCCTCCCAGTGAGTGATATTGTTCCCACTGAAACTTGAACCTCGTACCTATCGCTTCAAACATCAAGGCATTATCCATTATGCTAGCCACAATCAACCAAACTGCTTTAATTAACATTCAGACAATATGTAAAATATCCTCATAGGAGCGCATAGGCCAATAGAGGTTGAACAATTCGATAGAATAAAACATCGAAGAATTACAAGTATGTCATTAAATAGTAACATATTTTTGAATGTTAAACACCTTTCGTTAAATTCTATATATATGGTTTTAATTTCTTTCCGTAGCTTGCTTTTGTGGTCGAATGGATAAAAAGTTAACTTGTGGCAACAATAATGATATAAAAAAATGTATATTTTCATCTGAAGATTTAGAAATTTTACGTACAGCTGTTATAGAGTTACAGAATACAATCAAGTCTATTGATTATACTAATAATATAGATAACCTACATAATATGTCACTTGAAGATGATTCATTACGTGCTGAAAATAATTTTGATAACAGATTAACTTTATATTTATCGTCAATTGATAGTAATAATACTTCTCATAGTAATGTGAATACAATGATCAAATTTAATGATGAACAAATTATTTCATTTGATATATTATTTATAAAAATTGGTCCAACATTTTCATGTGATCAACTTTGTGATCGTCTTTTAAACTGTACTCATCATAATTGTTCAAATTATTGTCATTCTGAAAAGTGTCCACCGTGTCTATTAGATCCAAAATGGTGTTTAAATTGTCCTTGTGGGAAAACGCCTCTTTCAAAATTGGTTAGCTTTTTATTTTATTTTATTCTTTTACTGTTTATTTGTAATGATTTCTTTCAATAATATAATGATTGTAGCTTTGTATACCTTTGTTGATACCAAAGTGTTGGTTTATCTGGTTTAGTCCTAAGTATTCTAGCTAGTTAAACATTTTCACTCCATTTGTACATATAGTGAAATAAGAATACTAAGTTACATTCAAAAGGTATACAAACTAAAAGTTCGCCTTCATCTGAATATTCTTTTCATTATCATATTTTTTTCAGTTCAGCATCAGACAACACAATCAACAACAATTGATACCCTTTGCACAATAGATGACTATCGTTCCCCAGTAGCCTAGTGGATAACAATTTGGTGTTTGAAGCAATGAGTACTTGGTTCGACCCCGTGTAACAACGGGAAATTGCATGTATCAGTAAACCAGGGATAAACTTCATCTATTGGAAGAGTTGGTTGTGTGTTTAAGTCTCCATTTGTACTCTTGTAACGGAATTGTTATTTATCATTTGTCCCTTGGGTTCCTAGTGGAACAGAGGGCTTCAGTAGCACCGCTCCATTGCACTCTCTTCTCTTCAATCTTTTGAACCTCTCTCCACGACAGCCCAGAAGCTGTCATTTCTTCCTCACACCATCTCTTCCATGTCACCCTCACCTCGGACGCCCAGCTCGTCGTTTCCCATCTGGGTTCCACTCAACGGTCTTGCGCTCGATGCCTCCAAATGGTCTTTTCAGTGTATGCCCAATCCATCTCCACTTCCTTCCAGTGCATATTTGTTGAGTGATGGGTTCTTGTTGCTTATTCTTATTATTCTTTCCATCTGATCTTCAGTAATGAGCGTAGGCAGTTGTTGATGGATGTCTGTAGTTTGTTGGAAATGCTTTTCGTAACACGCCAATTTCCTCAACCATCACATAGAAGCACTGACTTGACTGATATTGGTGTTGAAAATCCGGATCTTGTTCACGCTTTATGCTGAGTGCAGTGCAGAAGATCTCCACACTGGTTTTAGGTTAATGAAGGCCTGTCTTGCTGTCCTTCCGATCCTGGCTGGCTTTGATGTCCTTGTCTGTGCCGCCTGTAGTTGAAACGATGCTGCCTACATAGGTGAAGGAGCCTACTTCCTTAAGGTTTCTCCTGTTGATGGTGATTGGAGCTTGTTAGTGGGTGGCGTTGGTTGGGTATCATCATCACCTCTGTCTTCTCTACGTTCACTTGAAGTCTCGTTTTCTCTGCCTCTTCTGTCAACTTATTGGATTTTGCCTGTAGATCTTCAAGTTTTGTTCGACATTTGATACAAGTCATCACTGGCGAAATCCAAATCTTCTAGGATCTTTCCCGCGGTCCAGTGTATGCCCATCTCGCTCCTAACTGTTTGCTGCATGATGCAGTCCAGTCCGCCATAATCAGGAATATTATGGGTGATAGTAGACAGCCTTGCTTTACTTCTGTCTTCACTTCAAATGAAATGTTCCTATTTAGCACTAGTTGGTCAATTAGTTAGTATTGTGAATTACCCTTTCTAATTACCGGTCGAATATATTTTCACAGTAGTAATGCTTAGCACTATTTCTCCGCCAGTAGAGTTTGGGGACCCTAAACTTCAAATTGACTTTAAGTAGACCAATATCTATGTTACTGATACGTAGATTTCGTCTGTGATATAATAGTCTATTTTGTATTTCTACTAATGAATAAAAAAGCGAAGCGATCCATTTATAATGTAACGACCTGCTATTTACAATAACTAGGAGGGAACAAAATTACTGAGTCTAATATCAATACATATTAAATTGATGTGAAAGGATGGATTGTACATCTTTTTACAATGTATCATTTATTTAAAGCTATTTGGATAGCAAATATTAATTGTTTTGCGAATATTACAGTGACTATCAGACTATTTGAAATAAAATTCACTTTTTAAACACTTTTTTTTTCCTTTCAGGTACCTTCTGGTTCTTTAAATGGAGATAGAAAATCATGTATTGACCCTATACCTACGTGTCCTAATTTATGTGGACGTCCAAGATCATTATGTGGTCATCCTTGCTCAGAATATTGTCATACTGGTTCTTGTCCACCTTGTAAATTGTCTATTCACTTAAAATGTCGCTGTGGATATAGCTCAAAAATGGTAACATGTCATGAGTTCTCTGAATTAAGTGAGAAAGAAGGTGGTAAGTTATACTTTTAGTTACTAATGATAGTAATAACTTCGTTGTTTTGTTGTAGTTTCTCCAAGTTACTGACTAGTACTCTGTAGATCTCTTTATACCTGTTGGTCTGAGCCGTGGAGGGAGGTGTACAGTCTCTGGTTAGAATCCTTGAGACGACAAGAATCAGTGATTGAGGACTCTTGGTAACATGCCTGGAAATCGATCACAATCGCGTGGATGTTTCCCCTCCTTTCCTTGACATCTTCTAAAGCTTGAATATTCATGTTTTCAATTAGATCCTCTACAGGCTTTACTCTCTATTTCCTTATAGTATTCACATGATTTTCATCCCACCTGAATATAATTCATCACTACATAATTATTATTTGACCCTTCAAAAACGAACAATGGCACACACATTCCCCAGTAAAAATAAACAAATGCCGCATTATATGTAGACTTTGTCTTCTCAATTCGTAATCGTTCTGTTAATATTGATTTCATTGCACAAATAACACACTGGACTGATAACAATTCAACCATTCCATTCGATTTGATCCCCCTCCATTCACCCAACAGAACACTGACTAACTGTTGCAGTATAGTAAGAACTATACATTATGCCTAATTTCGGCTATTATTTTTCACTTATTCTCATGGATTTATAACAGTAGAGTCTTAAGAAAAGGAAGTTATTGAAAACAATTGTTAGCTCAAATCATTCTTGTTCCGAAATGAATATTGATAGAAACAAGAAGGAGAAGTAGTGTACAAAGTAATCCTAGAAGTTACACCATGTTGACAACCACGGTAATGGAAGTGGTCGAGCGAATTTCTTTTGAGTACAAGGGTTAGATTTGTAAAGGTGAATTGCAAAATTGCCTCTGGTGTATGAAGTAAGCGAGTGCATAATCCATGTGGTAAATTAATTGGATTATGATGAATGATTTTTAAAGCTTTACTAGTATCCACTTGATGTCCTGTGTCAATTAGGTGTGCAAGTATGATGCTCTTTATTGTTCTCATTTGTCCCTTGCTCAACCACGATGGATGGTGCTTCGAAATTTGACGATGGACTTGCCTCATTCTACGTCCAACGTAACTAGCTGTACAGAAGTAGTTAAATTGATAAATGGATATGGAAGTGGCAGAATAAAGCAGTTTGTCTTTATTTCTTGCACCTAGAATAGCTCGTTATCACACTAAACAAATGAGAAGATTCTGTGTGCTGATTATCAGTGTCTTGGTCACTAACCGGGTGTAACTGATGAGACTAGCTGAGAACTTAACTGCACAGTAGAGTCAACAATTTATTTATATGAGGTAATACTCACAGCAGATTGACATCAATTAGAGGACCATTGACAGCCTGGAAGAACTGGACATCTGTTTCATCCTAGTATGGGACTCCTCAGCTGTACGCACCCACGATCCTGGTGGGGACCGGATTCAGGACCTTCAAGTCTTAAGGCGAATATCGTAATCATTCAACCACTTGGTCAGAGTTCGATGGTTTCACAGTTTCCTACTTTTGAGAATTTGCAATGTAGCCTGACTATCCACCAAGGCTTTCAGTTAGCATCCGCTTCACTTCCAACTGGTTGACTCCATAGGACAGGGCTTCCTTCCCATTAGAACTTTAAGATATCCATTTCGGAATATGTCACTAGTGAGCACTATACAGTAGTTCATGTTAAGGTTTATGGAACTTTTAATTCAAGGTAGTATTCATGAGTGTACTGCTGAGAGACGAAGCAACTATCCGCCAGTCTCAGATTTTAAATGATTCTTAAACTGATGTCTATCCATGGTGAATACTAGAGTAAAAGTTATTTTAAAAGTAAACTCAAGTTTTGTGTGTTTACCAGATGAGATTATTTTTAGCAAAATAGTATATATGTATTTTTGAGATGATTGGGGATTTTTTTATTTATTAAGAAGTAGTAGTCATCATGGACTGACGTCAGTTGGGGAACCATTGAAAATCTGGGAGCAATGGACAGCTGTTTCATCTCCATTCATCTCAAAAATACATTACTGTATAGTGCTCATTGGTGACTTGCTTCCAGATGGATATCAGGAAGCCCTGATGAGAAACCGTGACCTGTGGGGTCAACCAGTCGAAAGTGAAGTGGATGTTAACTGAAGACCCTTGGGTGATAGTCGAGCTATGTCGTGAATTGAACCACTGAACCACTGAAAACTGACCCATTGACTGAATGGTTAACGCGTTCACCGTGAAACCCGAAGGTCCTGGGTTCGATCCCTGGCCGGGTGGTGGATGCTTACTATTAAGGAGTCCCATACTAGGACGAAACAGCTGTCCAGTGCTCCTAGATTTTCAGTGGTTCCCCAACTGACGTCAGTCCATGATGAATACTACTTCCAAAATAGTACATGTTTGTCTTATGCTTTGCCATGGACAGACACATCTTTTGCATCCTGTCTTATGCACCCGCGAAGCATCTATCTTTGTTTACGACCAATGGAAGTCATTGAATTTTACCGAAAAGTTAAACTATTCATTGCGGAGCTGCTTGTGAATAACTTTTTGAATCATATGTATTTTTTAGGTGCAGCAGAACTCTGTTGTGAACGTATCTGCAAAAAGAGACTAGTTTGCGGTCGGCATAAATGCCAAACAAAGTGTTGTAATGTAAGTAATTTTCAAGTTTTGTTCTTCATGAATGAGATACATATATAAACTCGTCAAATTATTATGAATTTTAGATTTACGTTAGAAATCCTGGTAAATAGGTCACCAAGAGATGCTTTATTCAAAATAATAAAGCAACATTAAAGAACAGCCAAGAAACAAAAGAATGGTAATCAACCATTCTTTGCCGTAAGACACCCTACCTGTGCATTGTAATGTCCTTTGACAATTTCGATGTCTATCGAGTTAACCCGGTAGAGAAGATCACTGAAGTGATGATAGAACTTGGCGTTAACGGCATCTTGTCTGCGGTCATTCGGGAATATACACACTGAAATGATGAAGAGGTGTCATTTCTATTACCAGTTACTTTTCACTTCAATTAAACTTTCCAATGTGGTGGTACACAAGCCCATCGTCGATGGTTATCTAGTCGACTATTGCAGCTTCGACTCAAACACTTCGTGTGATACCAACACCAGTGAGGCTGGATCTCACAGGGCCTGCATATAAACACACTACAAATACCCTTTTCGGATTTACTCATAGGAAAGTTATTCGAAGTACTCCACTAGGATCTTATGTGCAGTTCTCTGATACAGCATGCATCATTAACTAGGCTTTCCAAAGTCCTACCCAAACCTGTTTGCTGTACTATCCAGCTTCAAGTTTGTCACATTCAAAATGGACACCTCAAGCGATGCACGCTGTCTCTGAATAGTTACATGAAATGTTGCGCTGAAGGACTACTTCCTAGAAGTAACTGTTTGTTCACTCAAAACATTTCAGACAGACCGAATGCCAGTAATATTTGTTTAGCTGTGGATCACTTTTAAGACACAAGATAATAATAATAATTCTAAGGTGCTCTCAGTCAGGTTAACGGAAGTGTTAACCAGTATATGGAAATCAAATACGATCCCTCTGACCGGTATAAATCACTGATTATTCCAATCTTCAAGAAAAGCGAGAAGTCGTCTTCTGCCGAACATACTGTTTAAGATTCTAGGTTCTTTAATTCGCCAACGCCGAAGTGGAGTTCGGGAACATCAAACCCGAGAAGACCAGGCAGGTTTTAGACTCGATCGCGGGTGTATCGACCAAACATTCACACTGTGCCAGATTCTGAAACATAGACACGCTTACCGACGCCTGACAACAGCTGAATTTCTCGACTTGAAAGCGGCATTCCACTCCGTTGATCGAGAAGTCTTATGCCAATGTCTCTCACTGAAAGGTGTGCTAAATAAGTACATCACTTTATTGAAGGCTTTCTGCTCGAACACTTGTGGGCGTGTTAGAGCCTATGGTGTTCAGGGAGCTATGCTTATCAAGTGGTGTCCATCACGACTGCCCACTGTCTCCATTTTTATGCAATTTTCTCATGCATATCCTTATGGAGGTCCTCCACTCATCATCTGATTACACAGATGTTAACCTATTCACAGAACACTTCGAGTGTTAATTTTAGAAATTTTGGGATGCAGTTCTCACAATGCAGATTGTTTCTCCACGACTGATCTTCAACGGTACCACGACTAACAATAGAGAGTGAAGTGGTTGAGTGTGTCGACCACTTTTTACCTACCGGGGAAGTGGTATCAGCCTTGGTGGCTGGGCTCAGTGCTCGATGAAATCTCTCCACGGATACAAAATACTCGATTGGCTTTCGCCAACTTACCCCACTCATGGAGCTGCCACCATATACGATTGTCTATTAAGGGTCACATGTACTACACAGTAGTCCACTCCGTTCTACTGTACGGCTGTGAAACATGGTCATTGAAGGTGGAAGACATGAAAAGGCTGTCTTCAGGTGTCTCACCACCGTTGTCTTCGTAGCATAGGCCGTATTCCGTGGTATCACCACATGACTAACGAAGACGTCAGGTATAGAGTTTTAGGGAGTAGATACCAGCGGGCTCATCGGACACGCTCATCTTAGTGGCTAGTTTTCACTGGCATCGATCCGCTGTACATTTGGGGTTTTACGGCTGGATCTTGGGGGCTAAGGCTAACTCAGATCGAAATATGCCGCTCTACCTTTCTATATGCGGTTAGAAATCTTATCAGTCACACTTTTATGCATAGTTGTAGCGTCATACACCTCCCCAAAATCAGTAGCCTAGGGTTTGACGACTTTCGACATCGATGCTGACCTTGATAGTTTAACTGGACTCGCTAAGCTGAAGGCACCCGGTCAAGCATCCTGGCCATTTGGCACGCTGTCGTGTTACGTTGCATTGCTCGTATTCGACTCTCTAGCCAGTTAGTTGGAACGCATCGGTATTTTGGCATAACCATCCAAATATACTATTCCATCCGACTACGCTATCGTGTTCTACCTTGGTCTCGTATTCGTGGGTATATAACAAGTTCGAATAATTAGTGATTGGTCTTTGCGTCTGTCAAGTTCGCACCAGGACAAATCCTAAATTAGTGAGCCCGACGTGATCACATATCCCGACCAATAACAAGTATTGAATTGGTGAGCCCGCTCCATTTTATATTTGTTTATTGTTTTCATTTCGATAACATTTATTATATATCCATTTACTACACTTTCTCATGTCCGACCACACTCCCAAGCTTATTCGTATTAAGTCGACTACGAACACGATCCAACTCGTGCCATATTGGCCAGACAATGCAGAAACATGGTTTCTGTATGCCGAGGCAGATTTTCGAGGACAGGGTGTCTCAGATCCTCATTCTCGATTTCTTGCTGTCATCCGGTCATTACCGCGAGAATTAAACAGGTATGTTACAGCAAACATGTTTAATCCTGAAGTAAGTGACCCTTATGCACTTCTAAAGGCCGCACTCTTGAAGAAAAGCGATCTCACAGATCGCCAACGTCTAGACGAATTGTTTCGTAACATCGAGCTAGGCAGCCACTCAGCTACTGAAGTCCTCGCACGCATGCGAGAAGTAATCGGTGCACGAACATTTGACGATGGTTTCTTCCGAGAACTATTTCTCTCGAAACTACCACAACCGGTGCAAACCGTGTTGGTGACACTCCAGTCAGTCCCACTCGACGACCTGGCAGCCTCAGCAGATAAAATACTGGAGATATCCAGCAGACCAGTCTCCAACGTATATTCTATCTGCGACAAAACAGAGCGCCAGGATTCAGAGGTGACCAAGTTGTGCAACTCTGTGAGACGGTTGCTACGATCTCGAAGTCCTAGATCACGTAGCACTTCACGGAAACGCACCTTGGCGCATCGCAGCAAGTCGTGTGGTAGCCCTAAAAGGAAACCCAACAGGGTGGAAAACCCTGAATGGTGCCGGTTTCATAACACTTACGGGGATGAAGCCAGAAAATGTCGTAAACCATGCCGTTTTAAGAAGGACCCGAACTCGGGAAACGGTCACGCCGGCACGTGCTCACGGCAACCGTAGCCGGCCGAAAAAGCCGTTTGCTCTACGTCACGGATATTAAAACGAAAGTCCGCTACCTCGTCGACACCGGCGCAGAAGTTAGCATTCTTCCAGCAACGACAAAGGAGCGTCATCTTGACCCATCCTTCAATCTTCAAGCAGCCAACGGCAAGGCAATCGCGACATTCGGGAGACGGTATGCCTACCTCAACTTAGGTTTACGCAAACCTATCCACTGGATTTTCCTCCTGGCAGACGTCTCTATGCCCATCATTGGCATAGATTTGCTAAACCATTACGATCTACTCGTAGATGCTCGCCGTCGACGACTGATAGATAACAGCACAAAGTTATCCATTGGCGGCACCACCTATGTAGGTCCGAGTTTAGCCATCGTTAGGACTAAACAATCAGACGACGCGTCCTACCAGGCAGTTCTGGAGAAATATCCAGAGTTACAGCAACCGAAGCACACTCTTCCGTGCATAACCAGCAATGTTATGCATCACGTCACAACCACAGGTCCACCTGTGGCATCCAAAGCGCGCCGTCTAGCCCCCGATAAGCTCCAAACGGCGAAAAATGAATTCGACCACATGCTCGACCTGGGCATTATCAGACCGTCGAACAATCCTTGGGCATCGCCATTGCACATGGTTCCCAAGAAGGATAGCAGTGACTGGCGTCCAACCGGTGATTACCGAAGGCTCAACGCCAAAACAACTCCGGACTCCTACCCGATACATCAATACAAACCCTCGTATACTTTGCCTTTTTATATCAATTTTTATTTACCATGTAATGAAATTTTAAAAAAAAACGGTAAAGATAAGCGTAAATTTTTACTTTTCGATATGTTGATATATAAATAATTCCCATTTTTAGGCAACGTTTTCGTGGTATTAAAGACTTTTATTTATATTCCAGGTGCAACGAGCACTGGACGGAACGTCGAAAGGAACAGATGACCGCGACCGACGTACAATTCCATTTATTGTATTTTATTTATTTAATCGCCACGACACCCTAGTAGAATAAGGTTCAGACAACCAGGGGCCACCTCACGCAGTCAGCCCATCGGAAGAGTTTTACCAGTGGAGAAACCACTGGGTTTTTACTTCCGGCTGGTATCGTCTTAGGGTCCTCACGAACCCACTAGGGGGGGGGAGTGATCTGTAGCGTCATACACTTCCCCAAAATCAGTAGCCTAGGGTTTGACGACTTTCGACATCGATGCTGACTTTGATAGTTTAACTGGACTCGCTAAGCTGAAGGCACCCGGTCAAGCATCCTGGCCATTTGGCACGCTGTCGTGTTACGTTGCATTGCTCGTATTCGACTCTCTAGCCAGTTAGTTGGAACGCATCGGTATTTTGGCATAACCATCCAAATATACTATTCCATCCGACTACGCTATCGTGTTCTACCTTGGTCTCGTATTCGTGGGTATATAACAAGTTCGAATAATTAGTGATTGGTCTTTGCGTCTGTCAAGTTCGCACCAGGAAAAATCATAAATAGTATTTCATCAGACAGTGAACCCGTCATGCTCCTTACCATACCAATCAGCTCACGCATCTTACTAAAAATGACAGCAGCTAGTATTTTTGACTCAACTGGTAACAAATTGATACTCATGATCGTCACACATTATTTGAACT